TTTATGGTTGTTCTCAATAAAGACATGAAGGATCAGAATTGTTTTTGTGTTATTATTTTAGTCAATCTAAATCACATTATCTTTGTCAGTACTCTTGACTTAGATGATGGTCAGATCACATTTTATGACAAATTAATGCAGAACATCATGAAATTCCAAAAGGTTCACATACTTTTTCCACTAGCACTATGAGGTTTTTATGGTTGTTCTCAATAAAGACATGAAGGATCAGAATTGTTTTTGTGTTATTATTTTAGTCAATCTAAATCACATTATCTTTGTCAGTACTCTTGACTTAGATGATGGTCAGATCACATTTTATGACAAATTAATGCAGAACATCATGAAATTCCAAAAGGTTCACATACTTTTTCTTGCAGATGTATCTCACCATAGGCCTTCCAGAATTTAGTTTTGAGAAGTTCTTGGAAGGCCAGGGCAGTGGATGGCCAACCTAATTTCTAAGAGAAGACTGTTCTTAACATAGGTGTTATTGCTGAGAAGCGATGCCTGTGAGCCGCCACCCTTGCAGAAATGAGGAATCACAACAATTTCCCCAAGATACAAATGTTGATTCTGGCTGGAGCAGGTGGTTCTGCAAGTATCTCAGTGTCAAGCCATGTAGGACTTTATAGGAAACAGTGTAATTTTTGAATTGCACCTAGCAGGCTAATAGGAAGCCAGTGCAGAGCCTGGAGTCCAAGATGCAATATGCTCCTGGTGATAATTTCTAACTAATAGCTAGACTGCTACATTTCACACTAACCTACGCTTCTGAAGCAGCCCCAAGTACAGCATATTGGAGTAATCCAAATGAGTGCTAATGAGAGCATAAGAGCAGATATATAGATAGCTATCGTGAAGTTCCCTTGCTCCAGGCTGGGGTATAACTGGTGCACCAACTGGAATTTCACCCCCAGTTGCATCTTAACTGGCCATCATGCAATGGCCATAAGTCTAGCAGGCCACCAATTCGTGGGCCTGCTCCTTCAGGATCAGTGCCATCTCTTCAAGAGACAATACCAGAGCAATCAGAGCACCTTGATCAACAAACTGCAACTTTATCTTGCTGCGATTCAATTCAGTCTATTTCACCACATCCAGATCCTGATACTGCCATACATGAGAAAACATTGATAGCATCTCCTACCTAACCTGAGGTGATGATAAAGAGCTGGATATCGTCAGCATACTGATGATCGTGCATCCCACACTAATGAATGATCTTTCCCAGTAGCTTCATATAAATAGTACAAAGCAGCTTCGTATAAGTAGTACAAAGCCCTGCAGCACCTCTCAAGGGGACTGATGGGCTAATTTCTCCACTCTCTACTACCACCATCCACTCTAGTAGGCAGTCCAGAAGGATACCATGGTTGATGAAGGCCACTGAAAGGTCTAAAAGGAAGGGAGGGGTACACTACTTCCAGTTAAAACTCAGCAACAGTGCTGTCTCTGTCCTATGTCCAGGCTTGGACCTAACTCTAGGCTTCCTCTAGAGTGTTTCATAGTTGCTTGATGATTGTGGTCTCAGTAACCTTCCCCATAAAAGGAAAGTTCAGGCAGGGTGATAATTACCAAGAATAACTAAGAGCAAGGAAGACCTAAGTATACCAGTCTTTTTCAAAAATGCAAATAGCATTCCCTCCCAAAGCAAGGTATGGAAATCCCCCCAGAGTCCACCTGTTATACATCACAAAGTTGCTAGGAGAGGCACAGATCCAAACTACAAGTGACTGAGATCATATCGACATGCATCCTATTCACTTCCTTGGAATCTAGCTGCTCAAATGAATTCCAGATAACATGGCAGCATGCTGCTCCAGTCACTGCATTGGACTCCATCCATGAAAAGTCAAGAGACTGGTGAATCTGAATGAC